ATGCAACACAGATATGGGTAAACGATTGATAAGATAAACAGCAGAAACAAAGGCATAACTCCAAAATTTCTGAGGTAAGGAAGCCTAAGCTAACATTGTCAATCTTGTTTCAACAATGTGCCTATGCTTCCTCTCAGCCTTACCATTCTGCTCCGAGGTACCAGGGCACGAGTGACAATGCTCCACTCCATTGGCACATAACCATTTTCGAAGTGATTGATACTCCCCACCACCATAACTGTGCAGTGCTTTAATTTTATATCCAAATTGTACTTCAACAAATTTTGCAAAATCAAGAAGACATTGAGCCACCTCAGACTTACGTTTCAAGAGATACATCCAGGTATAACGACTACAAACATCAACAAAGGAGACATAATAACGAAATCCGTCAGTGGAGCATACAGGAGCTGGTCCCCAGACATCAGAGACAACAAGTTGGAAAAGCTCATTATATTTAGTCAAAGATTTACAAAATGGCAACTTATGAGATTTCCCTTGCATACAAGCAGAACACACATTCACTGCTTCAGTTTTATTGAAAACAAAACTACACGACCTCAAAACACGTTGAACAATATCAAGAGAAGGATGACCAAGACGCTGATGCCACAATTTCAAAGACACAGGTGACTTCGAGACATTATTCACCAAGTAAGAAGACCTCTGATCCTCACAAGACAGCAGCTGATACAACCCGTCATTCGTGAGCCTCCCTTGGAGCAGAACCACTTGAGTCCGAGCATCCTTCACAAGACATTCAGAAGGGTGAAATTCCATGAAGACACACCATTGTCACGTGTGAACTGAGAAACAGACAACAACTTTTTCTTTATGTTAGGTACATGCAGCATATTTTGTAAAATTAAAGGCTTCCTATTTGAGCTAAAAAAACCTTGACCAACATGAGCAATTGGAATACCATCACCATTACCCATAAGCAAGGAATTACCACCCGTATAAAGAGTACCTGATTGAAACACAAAAATATCATTTGTTACATGATGTGTAGCACCAGTGTCAGGGTACCACAAGGAGTCGGTTGATGCTGAAGAACAAGTCCTGGAGTCTGTTGGAACAGGGGACGCATATGCTGCTGAACTAGGAGTCAAAAAAGAGGGGGATGTACCATGAGAACCACAAGAGATATTCGAAGCAAAACTAGGAGAGAAGCCAGGAAAGGGGTAATATCCAGGAGCATACGGGGAAGGAAAGTAAAACGGAGTGGGAACAAAGTTCGAACGAGAAGGCATGGAGGTTATGGTGTGAGCATAAGGTTGTCCACTAGATTGCGAGTGTTTAGCAGAATTCCCAGCACCAGTGGGCTTCGAGCCATTCTCTTGCATCGACTCAGACCCGGACACACCAGTGTAGTCTCTATCAAAACGATGATAACACTTTTGGACCACATGTCCAAACCGGCCACACAACTGGCATTGAGGACGATTATTATTACGCCCTCGACATCGACCACGATATCCATTCGACTGTCCACGAGATGAATGATCCTGTGATGACCCAGTATTAACATCCTGAGTTCCACAAGAGCCAGTTTCAGTAGCAGCACCTTCCCGAGAGTGAAGAGCAAGATTTGCAGAAAAGTTTTCACTCAAGAACATCTTCTGTCGAGCCTCACAATCTCTAACAACATCTCAGTAAGAACATCAAGAGAAAAATTTTCTCGTGATGCAATTGCAATAATGGACTCAAACTCCATTTTAAGTCTAACTAACACAACATTAGAATGTTCTTGCTCAGTAACCACACTACCTGAAGCATTCAACAAATCACATATGGATTTGACTTTGGCAAGATACTCCCTAATCATCAAACCAGTCTTTCGCTAGGAATAAAGATTATGGCGAAGAGAAGAAATCTTGGCACTGGAATGAGCACCAAACAGACGAGATATAGTATTCCAGATTGACATTGCAGTTGTAAGTCCGGTCAAGTGAGGCAGAACCTCTGTACTCACAGTAGTTAAAGCCATGAAGCAGTCAGTTTATCTTGTTGGCGATGAGCTGCAAACACTGGATTCTCTTCAAGTTCTCCATACGCATTAGTGATGAACTCATCTGGTGCAACAGAACCGGCATAGATGAACCTCAGCAACCCATAGCCATCAATTATCAAAGCCACTTGATGCTTCCAAAGAAGGTATGTGGATTCAGTGAGTTTAACAGTGTCATGCTTTGGTATGTGTTGAATGCCAAACATACCTCGAGAAGTTCCAGGACTCAGGGAGGAAGTATTCGGAGACACATCCTCGGGATCAACAGTTAAATCAACCATGACGCCAAGAATACACGACGTGAGAACTTAACCTCGTGCAGCTACTAGAATGAAGAATAAACAGCCGAAGAAAACACCCAGGTATTGGCGAAAGATACCATGATAAGATAGCAGTTTAGCTATCTAGGAAACAAGAAATGAACTGAAATCTTTGTAATTCTTTTATTAATGAAAAGTTGATCTCTCATGAGTTAGAGAGTAGCTATTTATACAAACAAGAAGAAAATAGAACTGTTGTGCAACAAATCATTAACAACTTAACTGCTCATAACAAGAAGCTAACAAACTGTTCTAGAACTATTCTAGAATTTACAGCACATGCTCATATACATAACACTAACAAATGGTGCATTTAACCCAAAATAATTATATATAGAACGTGTAATGTAACACCTCCAAATAAAAAAATAATAAAGTAAAAAGGAAGTATAATTTTAAAACTAAATCATATAGTAAACTAAAATTTGATTATTATTGATTGAGATTAATTAAGTGTTGATCAATATTTTATATATTTTTAAATTTATTAATTTTTTAATAAAAGTATATATATTTAAAAAAAACCCTAAAATTTGATATTAGTTTTAAGCTTTTAGTCGGTTGTTAAAAAAAATTCGCTTCAGAGACCTAATTGAAAAACCTAATGTTACCGACTGGAAACACTAACGCATACCCTATTCTAGGGCAACCGATGGATTATGCTGGCCGACCGCCAGACGAGATAACTATGATAACAGGGCTGTCGACACTGGAAAGACCAGGGTTGCCACTGCAAAACGAGCGAGAGAAGAAGAAGCAACGGAGTGCGGATATGGACAGGGAACAATTGTACACAAATTTTTTTTATCAGTGTATGCAATATGCTCTTATCATTCGACTTCTGGACAGGACGATTGGTTACAAGGCACTGATGAACCGGATTCTAGCATTATGGAAACCGTTGGGGGATTTGCAACTAATACACCTTGAAAACAACTATTTTTTGGTTAAATTCACGAACAACGAAGATTATACAAAAGTACTTACTGAAGGATCATGGACGATTTATGGGAGCTGACGGTACAGCCATGGAGTAGGTCGTTTTCAACTGAAGAAAAGCATCCAACACAGATTCTCGCATGGATGCGATTACCAGGGCTTCCGCATCACTATTATTCGAAATCCTTGTGAGTGGTTAGGGTAGATTGTAATACACAAACAGGTGGTAGAGGAAAATTTGATCGAATGACAATTATTGTTGATCTGAATAAACCACTGAAATCATGTATTGGGATAGATGGATTCATCCAGAAGCTGGAGTACGAAGGACTGACAAATATATGCTATATACGTGTGGAATTTATGGACACGCATCAGAAACCTGTCGCAAACAAAATGATAGAGAAGGACAAGAAAGTTCTGGTGCAAAAACAGAAACATGGAATAAACCGGGACCATCTCTGGAGTGCCGCGGTGAGGAATTATATGGACCATGGATGGTGGTAGAGAAGTGAAAACGTAGACTGAGAGGCGAAGTGCAGGGGAAACAAAAGTGGGACCGTCAGAATGATATTGTAAGAACATCTTGTTTCGCAGTACTGGAAGAACTATCAAATTGCGGTTGAGGATTTTGTTGCGGATACGGTTGCGGATGCTACGAACATTACGTAACGTGTTGCGATTGCCGCGGGCGTGATCTCTTCTTCAAAAATCATAATACATATAAAATATTATATTTTTACATTTAACTGTTATCTTTTAATATACTAATATTAATATACTCTTTTAATATTTTATTTTGAAAATAAAAATTTAATTTTATAGATAAAAATTTATTAAAAACAAATATAAATATAGAAGTGTTATCATATTGGATAATGGGTAATAACAATTATAATGTTAATAAATAACAAATAAACACTATCACTAAAATCATATCAAAATTTTTATATTTTAACATAAAAAATGTTCATTTTACATAACATAGAAAGAAAGAAAATACATAACTACACAAATATAAAAATTCTATATTCTACAATTCACCACCAAAATGAATGACATAACGGATCTAAAGCGTTTCTATCTTCATCATTGTCTTGGTTTTGATTCCTTCCTATTCCATGTGAAGAAGAAATCATATTATGTGTATCATAAGATGCATCATTGGTAGGAAATATGTTGTATGATAAATGATGACCAAAAAATCCATAACTTGGATTTTTATTCAAGATAAGGTAGATAACATGAATTTGGTTGGTAAGAATGAGAACCATGAGATGATTCACTAATTTCATTATCATTTGTAGCTGAATTATATGATGTTGAAACTGCAAATGAATAATAAAAGTGTTCTCACATCCTCTTATGAGTTCTATCATCATCATTTTTTTCTATTTTGTGATGTATTTGTTCTATACAAACCTGAATTATCATCGTAAGAATATCTAGACATACCTTGATCTCCATGAAAAGCAATAGAATAAATTTGTCCATATTCTGGTTGGTACGTACCTTCATTATCACCACCATCATCATCGTCGTTCATCATCATAACTTGACGTTGATAGTTGAACATTTTCCTCATTAGATGGAGTAGGTGAACTGTTCATATTTTCACATTGAATTTCTTCATCAGTTTCATTAAGTAAATCCTCAGGCAACAATGAGAAATTTTGTTCACTGTCAAATGTAGCATTCTCTCTTTCTTCAATCCATGCATTTAGTAGGTCATATTTTTCAAAAATATTTTCAAGATTAATCGGATTAAAACTCATTTAAAAAATATATATTCCTTTTTTATTTTTGTTGATAATATTATTTATTTATTATATTATATATTTGATAAAATTTTATAGTTTCATAGTAAATAGATAAAATACATATATTATTATAGTATTATAAAGTGAATTCCTCTTTTATACAAAATTTATATAATAATAAATAAACATAAAATTATGATACTTAATGTTAATATAAAAATTTAATTTAAAATTAATCACGTCAATTTTAGATATAAGAAAATTTAATTTAAATTAATTTAATTTTAAAATAACGTTAATAAATAATTTAATTAATTCAAATTTAAGTAATTAATTTTAAATATAATTATTACTATATTATTAATGATATATATTTATAATGCACTTTTAAGAATTAAATTATAATAATTCATCTATGTAATTTTATATTTCAGATAATTTAAAGTTTGTTGTGGCGTTGCGGCGCAATTTATAGCGTGTTGCGGTGCTACGTAACGATTTTTGACCGCAACAATCGTGATGCGATTCCCTTATCGCGTTGCGCTGATATTACGTTGCGGTAAGCTTCAAAAACGTTACGATGCAGGCGTTACGCTGCGTTGCGGCCACAATTTAGTAATATGGAAGAACTACAAACGGATGATCAACAAGGAAGTAAGGCAGAGGTTCTTGAAACGAACCCAAGAGTAAACAATATGAGTAGAGGCTCAGCAAGTCAAAAACAGGAGCCGAGTTCAAAAATTAAAGGGAAACAACACATGACGAAGACAACAGTAAAACGGGATCAAACTGTCAGAACCCGCGAATGAATCTGACAAGTTAAGGATCGGCCACGGTAAACATCATCCCAACGATCAAGGGACAAGCAACGGAGGTAACGAGGCACAATACAAGTCATATACATGGAAACCATAATGCAATTGAAATCAGGGTGGATAGCATGAAAGGAACCAAGAAACGGGGGGTAAAGATAACAAACCAGAATAGCTGGGTAGTCAAAATCCGCAAGGAAAACATAAGGTGTGGCCCGAGCCCGAGGGAGGAAGGAAAGAATATTAATACGTCTGAATGGGTGAGTAAGCTCTCACACCATATACAGGAGATAGAGTCCAACAGTGAAACATCGTTAAAAGAACAAATTGATGCTCGAATAGAAGAGGCGAGATTGCTAAGCGACAATGAATGAATGGATGACTCCGAGGAGATGGGGGATGTGGAAACGATTGCCTGGGCAACTTTCTGGCCTATCAATTGAGCATCTTACACAATGAATTTCATGTTTTGGAATTGCCAATGAGCGGAAGGCCACACATTTTGAAGAATTTTTCAGAATTTCAACCAAGAATTGAAACCGGACATTGTTGCACTCTTTGAGACTCGCATACAGGGAAAGGTAGCAGATAAAATTATGGCAAAATTAAAATTTCCAAACTCTTTCAGGGTGGAGGCACATGGTTTCAGTGGCGGTGTATGGCTACTGTGGATTTCGCAGCAATGGATCTCAGGAATGGATATACATATCGGCAATTTATGCTAGCCCAACGAGAGCAATCAGGAAAAATCTATGGTCAGCGTTATAATCTCTGAATCCTGGGGAAGACAAACCTTGGCTGCTGGGAGATGATTTAAACAGTATTCTTAATGCAGCAGAACGATCAGGAGGTAGCTTTAAATCAACAAGAGGAAGCAAGGACTTGGCCGACTTTATTTTCGAAGCAGGACTTATGGACTTGGGATTCCAAGGAACACAATTTACATGGAATAGAGGTAACCTCCAACAAAGGCTAGATTGTTGTCTAGTGAATGAGAAATTGAATGTCATGAATACAAACGCCGTCCTATTACATCTCGACTGACTAGGCTCAGATCATAGATCGATTTTATACAAGAACAGCGAGGATCGTAGTGGAGAGAAAGACGGACCTTTTCGTTATATTGCGGCATGGAATGACCACCCACAATTCCAACGTTTTCTGGAAAAAAAGATGGAATGCAAATAAAGATCTCAAGGAAAATTTGGTAAATTTTATGAGAGAAGCCAGAACTTGGAACCAAGAGGTTTTTGGACGTACTGCCCAGAGAAAACGCACGATACTAGCCAGACTTAGGGGGATAGAATCAGCTCTACAAAAGTATCTGTCGGACTATCTAAATGACCTAGAGCTAGAACTACAAGCGGAGTTAAACGTAGCCTCGAATAAGAAGAGAGCTTTTGGAACCAAAAAGCTGGTTCGAACTGGATTCTAAACGGCAATAGAAATA